GCAAAACTCAGAGGAAATATTACAATTTGATTACATTGATAGAGTCGGCTTTGAACATGGAGTTATAATAGGTTGGTCGATGGTGTTGTATTTATGTGTGGTGCGACAGCTTTCAATGAAACAAGATAGTGTAACCGTGTAAGTAAAAATCGATCGTACCCATATTCGGTGGTGTTGTATTTATGTATGGTACGACGGCTGTCAATGAAACAATATAGTGTAACCGTGTAAGTAAAAACCGATCATTCCCTTATTCATCAAAGGTGTGGGTGGTGGTCGGGAATCAAAGAGAAGGTTTTAGGGTTTTTTAGAGAACACATATACCATAAACGTCATCAATAGATAGGAGACTGGGGAGGGATACACTATGGTAGATTCGTAGAGATGATACATTTGATTAATAGTTAAGATTACAAAATTATCATTGTGTAGGTTTTTGAAATGATTGGTCCACAATCATCAGTACATTCAGACAATAGATAGACCACATGAACATATATATATATATATATATATATATATATATATATATATATATATATATTCTTGACCCATAATAACAATATACTTATATCTCATTGTCCGTAACAGCTATGTACTTGCATTTTTTTATCTACAAAAGCAATATGTAATGGGTGGCTTTATTGTATGAAAATGTTACCAAAGAATACTTTGAGAATGTTATTATTACCATACTAAAGTACATTTTGGAAACTTCACTTACCGTAACAATAAAGTGTGTTGCTATTTTCTATTGTGTGTTTACGATTTTCCAAAGAATATTATTCAGCGGCAAGCAGATTCAGTCCATAGACCATAATATATAAGATTTTATATAATGGACAAAATTGCAAGAATGGTCCCTGTGGTTAGGTGGAAATTGCCACTTTGGGCCAAAAACGTTTGGACTAGCACTCATGGTCCAAAGGTTTTCATTTTCTTGCCACTTTGGTCCAATTTACTTTAAACTTTTCTGTTATGACGATTTTGCCCTTGGTTTTTTCTTTTTCCAGTTTTATTTTATTTATTTAAATTTTTTAATATTTAAAAGAAAAATAAAAAAATACATCTCTCTCTCGTTCCTCCTGATCACCAGAAAAACCCAGCAACAACCGAATTTGTTGCCTTCTTCAGCCCAACCTCTCGTCTTCCTTCCATTTTAATGGCAGACCGACCCAATAACTACCAAACCGCCGCCATGGCCTGCTGAAGCAAGCCTCCGATCGATCGCAAACAGGACCGTCGGCACTGTTCAGCGGAGAAGAAGAACCGGCGACAACCACCATTTTCCCTTCTGTATTCATCTCTTTTCGACCCTCAAGCAGCTTCCGGTCGTTCTTCCTTATTCCTCCATCGATCTCAAGTAACCATTTTTTTTCTGTTCAGAACACACCATTTTCATCTTCTTTGAATGTGATCCCGAGTTCCTTTTCAGTGTGTGTATTTAATCCAAATCTCAAAGTTTGATTATGGAGCAGGTTCTGTAGGTGCCACCTTTGATACCAGTGATGGTTATGAATCATCAGTAGGGGCAAGATCAGTTTTCAACTTAGCTTATTCCAAGATCAATTTGCAACCCAATTTAACTCCTAATCGGACAGATCTAGCCTCGTTTCCCCCCAATTTCCTTTAATTCATGCTCAGGCAAAGTCGATTCATCAACAATACAAGGTATCTTATCAGATTCAAGCCTTAATCCTTCTGTTCAAGTTTCGATTTTGGATGGTGCTAGGGCTTGCTTTAACAGGAAGTTGTTAGATCGAAAAAACCGAACCTTGAAACACCAACAAGGTTAGATCGACGACGGTTTCACACTAGAAATCAGAGAGAGAGAGGGAGAGAGAGAGGGAGAGAGAGAGAGAGAGAGAGAGAGAGAGAGAGATTTTCTTTTATTTTTTATATTTTTTTTAGTTAGAAAATAATTAAATAACAAAAAGAAAAGAAAAAAACAAATGGAAAAGGGCAAATTCGTCATTTTAAAAAATTTTAAACTGTTTTGGACAAAAAACACAGCAAAATGAAAACTTTTGGACTATTTGTGCTAGTCCAAACCTGTTTGGCCCAAAGTAACATTTTTGGACATACCACAAGGACCATTCTTGCAATTTTGTCTATATAATGCTATATAAACCAAATGCTAATGGCTAAGGTTAAATATCTTAGAAAATGTATATACAATAAAAGTGATTCGTTTAATGCTAAGATTGATTATAATAAGTAAAATAAAATCAATTAATTATTATTAGTGATAGAAACGTGATAGCTGGTTAGTGTTTTATGCAAGTATTTCGTCCTCAGGAGATGCTAAATTGAAAACAAATTCAATCGAAATCCAAAAAAGGAGGATTTAAAATCTACACTCTGTCCCTCACAAAACGAGACATAACAGTAGATTTAGAAGCAAGTGTAAAATTTGGTTACTATTCAGTTGCATTTTCTTTTTGTTTGAATTATCATATCCAAACAACACGAGAAATTGTAAGTGTTTGTAATCAATCAATCAATCAATCAATGATATGACACACACAAAAACACAAATCAATGTGTTGGGATACAAGATAAATTAATTGATTCTAGGGTTTGACGGCCATTAAAAACATGAAGCAAGCTACAACAATTCCAATTGAGGTGCCCATACGACCTGAATGAGACAGATTATGTGCACCCACCAAATAAACTTTCCCTGATTCCTCATCTTTCACATTGATGCTTGAAGAGCCTAAAAACAAAAACTAAAACTGATCAACAAAAACTCTTCTCATCAACACTGTTGTTTCTTTTTTACCTAATGGACTTTAATTGAAGAAAGAAGGACTTAATAAAGAAATTCAAGGAGACAAATGGTAAACTTTTACAGCAGTTTTCCTTCCACTGATCATTTTAAACCATCATTTATCTGGTCATAAGGGCATGTTTCTTTTTTCCCATTAAAAGAAACAAGTAAAGGAGAAATATGCTTACAGTTATACTCGATCCATCCAATTGTCTTTTTTTCCAGATCGTATGTCACCAACTTATCTGTCAATACAAGGTCTGCATACAAAACATTCCACAGTAATATTCATATGGCGAGGTGCAATGACAGTTGTACAAACGCTATTGGACCAAATGTCGGTGGGTGGGGCAAGAACTCATATATGTGGAAAAGACACGAATGCCCTCCTCATATAAGATTAACAAAAAGAAATACAGAAATATGAGACATGGCTGACCTCCCAACAAAGTTATTTCTTTTCCATCCTTTGATTGCAAGTCACTGTCCTGAAACCCAACACACCAGTCTTGATCCTGTGTGTGTGTGTGTGTGTGTCATACAATTAGTCAAATAAAGTGCCTTAATTAAGCAGCCATCGATGCACAGGGAAGGGATGACATGGCATATATGTACCTCGACTTCAAAGAGGTATTGGTTGGGATAAACTTTCAAAGAAAGTGAATTTTCAAAGTGAAATATCACATCTGGAAAACCCTTATCCACACTGCATTAATCATTATCAGAGGATTACTGAACCTTTATTTAAACATGTATAAGATCAAGAAAAGCTCAATAACTTTCACTTACTTTCCAGGGTACTTGTAGCATGTGAACTGTTGATCAACAATGTGACTCTTTATATCAGGTAGTGCAGCATCGATCTAGGCCGAAAAAAAAAAAAGATTTAATAATTTAACTTCATTATATTTATAGGCAACGATGAATGTGAACAAGGCTTAAAATGTTTTGTATACCTTTTGTAAAACTTGCTTGTAAACCAAATCAGGTAGATAAGCCAAAGTCGTACCACTATCAATGATTGTTCCTCTCTTTGCTCCAACATCAAATATATCTGTTGGAAGCTGTAGAACATCACCACCTACCTCAACTGCCTTCAATTCAACATTATAATGCGCCCTGTATTATATATATATGATGAAGATAACATTTTTTAAACACCATATATATTATAATCATCTTATGTCTTTCTTTCATTTAGGGTAAATAAGCAAAAGGTGTAACTTACTCTGGAATCATTGGTGTTGTCTGTACTTTCGGTTGTACAACTTCCCCAATAGCAAATATGCCTCCTCCTTTAGAGCCATCCAAGCAATGTGAAAAGACCTTTTTGACCTTTTTAGCAGAGGCAAGCTGTGAAAGCATGGAAGAATTTGCTTGCCCAAACCCTAGTATCCCATCTAGTGCTTGTTCTGATGAACCCAACTCCCCTGATTGTTGTGATCCGCACCTATCTTGGATAATACAAATATATTTAGAGGATAAATTATCATATCATTCATTCATTAAATACATGCAGATGGAGAAAAGCAGACTTGCCCGAATGCAATACTGCCATTCATGAATGTGGTTTGAAGGTCTCCAGAAGCTCGGTCAAGTTGTATGGTGTCTCTAACAAAATATCCCATGGTGGAACTCCCATCTCCATATGTAACTTGATATGAACAGTACATTCCGACCCTACAGTCATCATTAGGGCCACTCAGTGTGGTAACGCAAATTTCTTGATCACAGTTAATCTTTTTTGCAGTTGAGGAAGCTTGTGGATTGTATAGTGCAAGTGATATCTGGCAAAAGTAATAGTAACAACTTCCGAATTGAATATATAAACCAAAGAAATTGGATATGGAAAAGTTCATAGAAGAGAAAGAAAAAAAAAAAAACATACTCCAAGGTCACTTTTCTTGGGGCATTTTTGACATCCAGCACAGTTCACCCATAAAAGGTCACTTCCTGTATCAACTTGCACATGATAATCCTTCGGTGGAGTCCCAATCTGAATCTTAGTGAAATAGAGCCTATATAGAAGAGGACGAACATACAAAAATATAAACTTTGATGGTGCAACATTTACATGTACACACACATAGAGAGAGAGGGAGAGGAGATATATACAGAAAGACAAGGGGGAAACTAACGCTGCTGAGGTGGGGCTGCCGTCGCCGCCGATGGGAAGGTCAACGGCTGAGAGAATCCTCCGATGACGGTCGGAATCATGAGCTTTGAATTGAGTCAAAGACCGTTTGTTGCCAGCAAACTTATGCTGAACCTGGAAAACCACATTGGCTGATGCCAACAAACATAATTCAAGAAGAACAACAAACCCAATAACTAAAACAACAAATCCTCGTTTATTCAGATCCATCTCCCAGCAATTTAATTCAATTATGTATTATCTTCAATTGGGTCTCTTCGAATCGAAAACAAATGAACAAATTGTATCCAATGTGTGTGTATATACACTTTCTCAAACTTACTTATCTTCTCGTGTTATCAAAGAAAATCCAGTTGGAGACAAAAAAAAACCCGCCTCGAGGGAGCCGACTGAAGAAGCAAGGCCCAATGAGATGAAGAATCAAGAAACATATAAAATTATAAAGTATACACTAGAGGAAATCTATATCGCTAAGCATTTGATTGCATCGCATCATGTCGATTAGGTTGTGTTGACTGATTCCTCTTCCAGAATCCAGATCTTCGTATATACTTATTATGGTGGTTTGCCTTTTTGGGTCTCATTAGGTTTCCATGATCTGTGTAAATAGTAATGTGTATGTATGTGTGTTCCATCATTGATTGACTTGAGTTGTAAACTTATAGTTGGACTTTGCGTGTAAATGGTAATCGATGATCCCCAAATCTAGTACGGCTTAATTGCAAGAATGGGAATCTCTTAATTTAGTTATTGTAAAAATAGTTTTATGTTAAAAACAATTTGTTTTTTAACAAATTTATAGGAACATCTCATAAATATTAAATTAAATAGGATTTAATTTCTTATGTCAATTCTTATAGTTAAAAAATAATTTAATTATCTAATCAATATTATAAAACATTATTAATTTCTTATGTTAATCTTATAGTAATTTTAAAACCGGCATTTTAGAATTTATATTTTTAAAAATCAAATTTTTATATCAAAACCTAAAACCGTTTTTTTGCTTATGTTATACTAGGTTAGAAACCCGTGGAAACCGTGGGTTTATAAGATAGACAATGAAAATAGATTGATAAAATAAAATAAAAATTAAATCCTAAATGATATTGAAAAATGATAACGTAGGATGATATTGTACTTTAATAAATAGGACTTTAAAAGTATGGTAGTAAAATAATACAAATTTGAAGTATAAAGTTAAACAAAGTTTTAATTTTGTAGTGGAGTAGGTAGTGTTCGATGTCAAACTGCATTATAAAAAATAATGTTTTGATTAAATTATATTCGATACAAAAATGCAACAAACTGATAAACTATGTACTAATGTTTAGCAAGAATTATATATATATATATATATATATATATATATATATATATATATATATA